CAATATAGGTATACGGTGGTCGTCGTGATAATAAATTGCAGTCCCATCGATGCGTTTTATATTATATAAATTGATCAAATTTCGGAATCGACTGCTGTACAGACTTCGAGGGAGGTCGGCGGTGGCTGCGGCGGCGACGGCAGCAGCGTGGTTATCGGGGTATGATTTATTATACACGCATATCGGCTACTTAACCAGTACACGTCGCCGAGCGGCTTCCTACGTGATTCCATTAACAAATTGTGTGTCGGAACGACCGCGGCGGCGGCGGCGGTGAAAAACAGAAGCGAGTATATTATATTATATACACACACACACACACACTAGGTGTATATACAGATAAAACACGAGGAGTGTTAAAACGAAAAAATAAAAAATTCCTGCGTCCTTATCTACCGGGTGTAATGGCGAAAAGCACGGCGGTATTTGTTATCTTTTCCCAGAGACTCAGTGCCAACAAACCACACCCAAAACGCGCTCGTGTGTGTGTGTGTGTGTGTGTGTGTGTGTGTGGCATTAAGGTATACCATTTTTCCTTTTTTTTACCTACTTTTTATTTTTGTTTTAATTTTTTTTTTCGTTCATTTCGTACCACCCGTTCGTGCCTAGGAGCCATCCATAACCATCTGCCGGCCGACCAGCACACGGCTGCGGCCACGACGATTAACGACAACGACCGCGACGACGACGTGTCAGTTGACCAAAGGGAATAAGGGTTTTGTATAATATATTATATTATGTATGTATAAAACACGTAGGTAATACATAAAAGTATACAAACGAGAACGTGCAAAAAAAAGTAAAAACAACAAAATTACGGTTCAGTGTTACCAACCTCTAAAGACAATCGGAATTCCCGTATATTATACGCTCATTTTATTGTTTTCAATAATAGCTGCAGAAATATTATGTTCAGAATTTTGTAACTCATCATTTTCTTTTTTCGAATCCACGAATACCTCACTAAAAACGACAAATTTTTAATTTTTAATAGCTACATTATATTGTTCCCCGAAACTCCGAAATATTAACGCCCATAACATACAAATATACAATGTAATAATGTACCCAATATTATATTTAATATTATACACGCCAGTGGTTATAATTTTAATGAGTACTACTCGCGTCGTGTTTGTTAAATCGTCTTAGTATAAATATAATATTATAAACATTATATAAACAACGAGGTACGAAATAACTCGAATTTGCCAATAAAAATGAGCTTGAGGATAATTTTAAAAACTTAATATCATCATACGCATATATTAATTTGAGTATAGTATGATTTTACTGCGTGTCACACATTAAGTATACCCGAAGGGAAATTAAAAATACAAGTCTATTTTAATAAGAGAACGATATTATATAATAACAAAATTTGTTTGATGTCGAAAATATGATGATAAAATTCGTTAACGACTGAATAATAAATATTTTTGTTATAGCTGGCGCGTTTTATATCTAATAATTTCGAGTTAAATATATATAGATCATATATGCATTTTGGAATGTATCCAATTTATGACCTGACATTTTTGGTTAAACGATTAATTTTTTTCACACTTTTTTCTCGACGTATAATGTTATTTGTGGACAAATTTGAGCTTACGAGATATCCATTTCGTATGACAAAAAAAAAATTAGGTATACAATAAACCTACACCTATTAGTCGTATAATTAAACGATAAATACAGTGCAGATGATACATTGATACGTACATAGAAAATTTATTGAATAGAGATATTACGATATATAGTGATTGTGTATATCATAATATATTGTTGTCAAAATTATAATATAAAACCTATACATAATATACATATATATAGGCACCTATATATATATATATATACATGTATAAACTAATAACAAATAAGATTCCGTTTGAACACTCAAAAGTTACAGATTTACAAAGGCCACCAATATGGCCGACACAGAAATCCTTGTCGTTGGATATAATATATACGCGACGTTTGGAGAAAAAAGAATTAACCTACTGAAAAGTGGACAAAGCTTTTAACGTTACACTTTTTTCCTTTTTTTTTTTACAGCGTTCCGGTTCGGAATAATGTATAAGTGAAACAATATTATACAGGGGTCGTGAGCTAAAAAAAAAAATCGGCTTTCCGAAGGGATAGTCGTACTGGCTTTCATCATTATCATCAACATCGATAACACGAATCGCCCATTATATGGAACTTTTTTTTCACCCCATCCGCGAGCGAATAATAATACCGGCTATTTTTTTGCAAGATGAAAACTCGTAATGGTGTTTAAAATATTATTATTATTTTTCAATGGAAAAATCGTCGGCTCTCTATAATATTATGCATATATAAACGTGATATAGTTTTTTATAAACATTATCCGGTCAACCAACGGCACACTATATATATATATATTGCACACCGCCGGAGATAGACTTTTATTTATTTATTTTATTATTGTGTTGTTGTTGTAGTTCATTAATATATTTTTTTTTTAATTTTAAAGCACCACCCGGTAAGCAGCATAATACTATACGTCCGTCCTAAATGCAAAATCGCAAATCTATACATAATATTATACATTATACACCCGACAGAAAACATTACTATAACATCACGTGGGGGTATTAAATGGAAAAATAATAGTTATAATAATTCATTGCCAATAATATATTATATATATCGGATAACATTTCCTAATTCCTATAGCATTGCAACGGTACCAATATATATATGTGTGTGTGTGTGTCGTGTGTGTGCCTACACATATACATATATTATTCCCGTTCAGTCAACCGATTGTCATAATACGATGTGTGACGTATGTTATTTTATATATTATATAGTATTAGTAGTATAATATTATAATATACAGTACTTGTAAAGCTTCTAATCGGTTGGAATCATGTTTCGCAATTCTAAACGCCCGCAATAAGCCATATTATCTATGTGTATATTACACACACATGTACACACAAGATAAATTAGGTATTGTATCAATTAAACGCGTACACTACACATACAAATACATAATAATATGTTTAGGGAGGAAAATAATAGTTTTAGAAAATGCAGTGTTTGTTTGGGAAATATAATAAAAAAATTTAAAAAAAACGAACGCATCAAAACGAATTCGTATAGATACGAAATATATGCGAAATTAAATATACAAATAAAACCATGTTGACACATTGTATTTGAACAATAACGTTGACATATATATACATTTTAATTGTGCAGGCGACGCGAGGTGATTATAAAGGTTAACCGTAATCAAAAGTCCGTTTAACACAAACGAAAGACGTTCTTTTGAAAACATTACCTGTAGTGTTTCGAAATAATTAACATTTTATGTTCGAGAATTAAAATTTGTAATGTTGTCAACCTACAATTGTACATAACCTATAATACCTGTGTATTGCGTATGAGCAGAAGATTATCAAAAGACGATTAACATAAATCTATAAGATTCACTTTATAACATTGATAGGTTATAAATATTAATGAACTAAATGAACTAAATGAACCATATTTGTATAAATAATGTTAAAATTGTAATCGATCGAAAGAAAACTATAGTAACTAACCTACCCAGAAAATGTTACCAGAAACCAACAATTGTATAATATAAAGTAGTTGCGGTGGTATATAGAATATAATATAAGTAGGATATAATTACATATATTAATTATAACATGACAATATATGTAGGTAATTTATATAATTATACATGTATACATTAGTTTTGCGAGGGGTTTTAGTACTTTGTACAAAAAGTTGAGATACAATTACACGCTGCACTATAATAAAGCTTGTAAATAATGTTTTTGCTATAAATATGTCTAAATATAAGTGCATTAATATGATAACATAATATTATATAAAATAATACACGGGTATAATATATACACACACCGCGGGAATTATTATTAATATCAACTTGAAAAAAGTTGTTCGAAACGTGAGCGGCAGATAATATATAATGCCAGGTAAGATATATAAATAATACGAATGTTAGAATGTAAGATGAAAACAAATTTCGTATATATTATGAAACATACTATAATTCTATAGTTAAATTACAAAATCTATGGTTGAAACATGCTGCGTATTATGCTTGTATGGCACATGGTATGTTATGCAACACCGTGTATCTGCCCAGGTACTTATTGTAACATAGAGTATAATGTATATAAAATCGAACGATCATATTATAATAATCCTATTATGCATTATTCAACTATAATTATTTTTGGCGCTTAAAATATATAGGCATAGAATATATTTATATATTATTTACCATATTATAGGTACACTATTAATTAATTCAATAATAATAATATACTATAGATTACAGAATTATAATAATTAATAGGTTATATAAATTGAATTCGATGTGGTAAGGGCGACGGCCACAAAAAGCTTCATACATGCCCGAAATCAACGACCAGAAAATCGCAATTAAATATATTGGACTGAGTAGAAAATCAAAGCCTAGGTATTTACCACAAGTTAACGCACCGTATTTTGGTAAATGATTGAAACATATTCATATTATACGAGTGTCACCGGGTGGAAGTGAATAAGCGACGGCGTCCATTTTTCTAAACATGAGCGATATCAAAGGACGAATACCACTGCTGCAGGTATATATACCGCGTATACCGCATAAAATATACCTATAGCCGATGATGTACCTACGCCTCAGCGTACCGAATTATAGACGACGGAAAAAAATATGAACATTACTGGCGTACTGTACGACCCCCCCTCCCCATCGGAAAACCATATAAGCATGTAACTATATATTTATATATTGCATTAGATTATATAATAATATACGCCATTCCTATTGGCCGTTCGACGCATTGTTGTTTTAGGTGAACACAAATACAATATATATGTACATACGTGTGTACATACATATATATGGGTAAAATAATATAATATATTGTTATGCCCCTGCCCCTACAACCCTAGTATGTGTGCGTATTTTTGGGGGTACTCACCCGTTGAAAGGGTACCCGAAAGCGGCGTCGTAGGGGTGATAGACTGAGTGGTACGGCCATGTAGCTCCAGCTGCCAAGTTCTCTTTGAGATCGAGTCCCGCTGCGGCCTGCGCACACACAAAAAATACATATAATATTAATAATAATAATAATAAAATATATTATCATACAAGCGTTATTGGGGTGAACTCGTTTATTAACGTTATTATAATGTAACACAAATAATATGGGTAATACATACACTCACTACACGTATGCCGTATGTATACCACGGTCGTTACAATATATTATATACCACGGGTACCTACACCTAAACGTATATAACGTAGATTGTGTAGGCATATAAGCGTCTATGTACGACAATGGATCACAACGCCGTCACTTCGCATATGACGCGATACGTATATGACACAGACGTGACGTGTCAGAATATGGTTTTTTGCCCACTCCGAATATAATATATTATATTATCCCTCTGCGAGGAAAGAAAATACGATGTATATTATGCTAATTATATGGTTTTTATTATATAGATACCTTTACTGGGTGTAGGGAAAAAATAATACGGCCGTGGAATATATATATATATAATATGTATATGATGTATATAGGTGTACTCTGCGTTTTCACGAAATCGTTTTTGTACATTATAATGTATAATGATATCTCCGCAACGAACTGGAGATATATTATTATTGTTATTTGCTCTATAAATATGAAATATATTTATAAATTATGTTAAGCGATACATTCAAATATTATAAACATATGCGAACTTACAGACATATATATATACATATTATATACTTAATCAAAATATACGAATCGGGACTAGGGCGATTTATGAACTGCCAAGCGCGTATTTTAAATAATATACATTTATATATATATATAGATTGAATATACAGCCACACAGCTAGGTATCTGGTATACCACCTATAGAATATTATACGACACACCGGATGGTATACAGGGTGGATGAGGTGGACAAGGGGTTGAATTGGACGACGGCCGACATGCGGAATAAATAGGTACTATTTATTATTGTATGTATATTATTTTTACGTTCGGGCTACAACGGCGTAAAACACGAATTATGTGCCGAACACACGAGAATCGTGTCTGTGTAAAAGGTTGATAACGCTAGGTTAATTTTTCAGAGTACACTAGTAGGTACCTATCATTACATTATGCCGTCGTTATAAATATTGTAAGGTATCATAATATACCAGCAAGCTGTAGATAAAATTCAACCGAAATAGTTTTCTTAAGTGATGTATTACTCGTGCTCACGTAGGTACCTATCATATACACATATGAGTATTACACGCGTATAAATATAGATAGTACTAAATATAATTCCCAGCTATAGAAAATAATATGTTGTTTAAAATGCAGATCAATGTAGAGGTAATTATTGTTGCATAACATTTGTTTCAATATTGTGCGTACAGGTAAACTTTAATCAATTTTTTTGTTCGTATACATTTGGCTGATTGGTAGATAATATAATATTATGAAAACGCGAGTATAATTTTAATTGCCTACGGCCTATATCAATAAAATAAAATATGTTTTCATACCCAGGACAGAAAAAAACCCCTGATTATATACTCAGAGACATCAACGCAAATATACCTCTACCTATACGTAAATTTAAAACGAAATATTTCTGTCGACATTCGTTCGGATATACCAATAAGTGGTACCTATTTACAGGTAATCTCAACAGATTATGAACATTATATTATTATTAATTCAATCCAATCTTTAAACGTATTATACATAAAACGGTCAACGGACCCTCGTAAACCAAATAATCCTTCTATAGAGCGTTTATAGTAACAAATAATATTATAATAATTATCATATGGCGTCTATAATAAACAACAGCTGGTAGAGGTACTTACGGCAGAGTAGAAAGGCGGTTGGTCAGAGCCGAGGGCCGGAAAGTAGGCGGCCATGCCCTCGGGGTACGGTGCGGTGTACATGGATAGGGCCGGTACGCCCGAGGCGGCCAGTCGCTGGTAGCTGAGCAGGTCGTACTGGCACGAGCACACCGTCTGCCCGGTGATGGGGTCGGTGAATATGGGCCGGCCGGTGTCGCAGCACCGGGGAGGTGCGGCGGCCGCGGCCGCGGCGGTGGACGTGCTGACCGTGGCTACGGCCGTGGTGGGACTGCCGGACGACGGTGCCGTGGACGACGGCGGTAGGGCCGCTGTGGTCGATCCGCCGACGGTGGACCTTGACTGGTGCGGTGGCGGCGGAGACGAGTTGTGGCCGGCTGCGGTCGAGGACGGCGGTTGCGGCGAGACGGAAGTGTGTCGCCGGGCCGCGGTGAGCGATAGCTGTAAGGGCGGCGGGCTCGAAGACGACGACGAAGACGTGTGCGGCGGCTGCGGTAACGGCTGCACTAACGATGCGGTCTGCAAACGAAAAATGTATTATTAGTATATTATAACGTTGACAATATTATATTATAGGTAGGTACAGCCGTATAGGTACAATATACTACAACACTGGATTATTAAGTTGTGACCTCGGTCGTGGTCGTGTATTAAAATCTTGTTATATTTTTCTAGGTACAATTCGAGTCATAGACAGAGTAGAGGGAAACCTCGGTAGATACATAATAATATTATATTGAAGTATTTAAGAAAGTATTGAAATACCTATATGTATATCTACATATTTTTCGTGAAAATCGATTTAGTAGCAATATATTATGATAACGTTAATGTTGATAACAGGACGGGCTGCGCAGTACAATACACAATATATATGTTTTGTATACCTGCAGCAGAAAAATATATACGATTTGACGTAGATATAATGTCGACGACGACAGACCAGAGTCAACGAGCCGTGTGATTCGTGCCGTTAAAAACCGTGTCATATGTAACATGATTGTTATTATATATGTTATTATATTGTTAGGTTTTTCGACAGTTGTCGTCTGCAGCGGCCCGGCGACGAGCGGTGTCACACGGATGATCGGATTTTGACGAGCGTCACACACACGCACTTATAATAATAATAATAATAATATATGTTTCGTACAATAACAATAATATAATAATGAAACGGCTGCAGCGTGTGCAGGAGGACGTGATTTTTGACGGAACAATAATAATATTATATTATATTTTAAGCGAAATCCGTGTGATGTGATATTACACGACGGATTGGACGGACGAAAGTCGTATATGTATATTTAGGCACACGGTATATAGACGTATATAATACATATTATACGAGTGACAAGCCGACCAAAGGTATGTATACTACAGCAGTCGTTGCATAGTAAGTTGCAGTCGGATATAACGGTATAACCATGTCCAACATATATACATGGACGATGGTTTTATATGGGCGCTCGCTCAAAATAGGGATTCACATCATCGTAGGTACCAATCTATATATTATAGTATATAGGTATATACCTGGATTCCGCCCGACCGAACGATTTCCTCGCGATTCGCGTCCCTGCCCCCCATACCTATATACATATATATACGTATTATACTTTTGCGGTAATGAGCGACGGATTTACACCTGAACCTATATGGTAATAGCCGCGTGTACATATATATATTGTCGATACCGTATACGGAAACAGGATACGGCAATCGATATATTCATAGGATCAATGGAAAACTATTTTTTACCGAATCCGCGCATCGTAAAACCACGATCGTATTTAGGTATAGGTAGGTACACGCGGATAGGTTTTTGGGAACGGTATTTGTATTATAATACGTATTGTACCCAACTACAATATATATCTATACACATATTACATATATATAGGTATAGTGTATAGTATGACTATTACCTATAAGGTGACCCGTTTGAAAATTCCCGTTACAAAGACTTCAAGAGATTTCCTATGGGAATATAGTGTGTTTCGGAGACCACTGTTTTAATGAATTGTTGTAACACGAACCGTTCGCGGTCTTCACCAAGGAATAAACGTGCGTTCTTATACGGATATGGTGGTGGTAGTCCGGGTTGGTGTGAAGAAAAGCGAGTATTGTTTTTCCAATCATTGCGCACAAGGTATAGGTGTACCATGTGCACAAAATCTCTGGAAAAACGGAAATTCGTAGTGAAAACCGATGTCCCCAGACGTTTGGGTATATTCTGATATTTAAAAATATATATGTACGTTTTATTATTGGTTACCGCGTGTCATCAAATATTACTGCCGAGTCGCACACCTCTATAAATTCTATATACTATTATTTTATATATAATATACGAAAGTAGAACGAATGGCGGCAACCATTTTACGCTCCTCCTACCCAATTGCATATTGTACGCAATGAGCCCGCATGTATTAAACATATTATTGTAACATATTGAATTACGACACAATACATACAATCCGTTTATTTAAGTCTTCCATTTTATAATTAAATCCCGACATTATATATCGTTATATCTTTATTATAATATTACGTAATAAACTAATACTACGTTAATGATGCGTTCCCGAATTTATTGTTTCATGATAATGATTATATTAGGTGTAATATTATATTGTAAAATTTTGGGTAGACAAAAAAATGTAGGTACCTATAATGGTATATATTATTACCACCCTAAAATTTCTCAAATTTCCTATTGGAGTAAAATAAATGTATTTATGATATCATATTATAGCAAACCACTAAAATAAAATTATGCTTTATATTATACATTATTTATTATCACGATTTAATATATTATTTTGTCATAATAATAGTAATGATTATAAGTATTGTGTAAATGATTCTATAGAATCATAATACATAAATAATAAGTTCTAATTTGAAATAATTATCAGATAAATATTAAACAGTCTAGTTGTATAAAAGTTTATATAGTTCCTATATGGCTATATTATTACTGTCTCGCCAAGTTCATAAAAATTATTACTGCATGCAGCAGTATTATCATATAGAAGGAATATTATTCGTTAATTTGCCTTTTAAAAAAAAGATGCAGGTATACCTTATACCTAGTCATATATGTCTATGTGTTTATATAAGTATAGGTACCTATAATATTAAACTACGATAACATTTCAATTAAATAATTATACAGACTGCTTATAATGTGTACAACACGAAAATGTATAAAGTTCTGATTAATTACAGGTATAATACATTATATTCAGAGAATAGAGCCGTGTTGTGATCGTAGGTATTAATTAATATATACGGATATCAGCTATAGTGAGAATATATTATATAAATGAGTACACGAACACCGAAAGTTTTTTTGAATATATATAATAATAAATATATATGTTTGTACAGAAGGTATATCTATACTATAGGGATAATAATAAATATTCGAACGAATATAAGAGAGCTAAAAACATGTTAAGTTTATAATGTATTTTAAAATTTAAATCCAACATGCCGTATATAGGTGGTATACACCCGTTATACGGTTTAATCAAATTAACAATATCATAGAAATATAAACACCAAAACTAACAATCTCATACTTCCCCGCTTATATATGAAAATATTATGTATACATATAATAATAATACAGTATATATATATTGTAAATATATAGGCATTTAAATATAATAAGTATACATTTACCTATTCAAACAGTCTTCGAATAACATATAATATGATCCTATTATTATTATATATATGATGGTCGCATGTGCTTGCGTATATATATATATGTATACCTACGATGACATATTTCGTTTAAATTTATCTGGCCATCGTTTCCCGGTGGGTAAATAAATAAATATTTCACTCGGCTGAGTATATAGAACTTCGCACGGCTATAAGTCGGATATTAGATTTCGCGCGGTGCAAACACCGTTCGCGCTGGTTGTCGCCCACGCGATAATCCGTTTGCGTGTCGAAAACAAATAAATATATATGTATACACGATATACACACACACACACATATATGTATTATAATCTACACTTTTCTCGAAAGAGGGGTCGCGTATATACTGCAGTAATGCAAAGGCGATAACTCAGGAAAAATCGCATAAAAATAATATATATATATTATATTATAATACAACACGAGAGTGGGGTGCGTAAGAGGGTATTATATAGGAATCAATTTTTTCGCAAGTACCCACTTATATATTATATACATATAATATATTCATGTGTTTTGATTGAATTTCAGAAAACAATATATATGTACCTATAACCTATACACCGCGCGGTGACTTGGTGTTTTTATAATAATATATATATAGTCGTTCGTTCTGGCCCATATAGACTTCCTCCAAGGCAAATTGTAAACATGTTACCATAATTTTTATAACACACGACATATTATATGAAAGATTATATTAAACAAACATAATATTACCTCATTGTATACTATTTAGACATAGGTACTGAGACATAAAAAGCGGACACTGCAAGAGTTTTCAAGCACGCGATATAACGATCGTCGTGTGTCGTGTAGGTATAGGTATATATTGGTTTGTATTGAAATTTTGGTTTTGACCAGAACGTAGTTGGGTTGAAAACGTAATACAGCACGAACAGAACTTTCGGAACTATATAATTTGTATAATGTATAATATTATTTAGGTATATAGCTGTATATTATACCTATGCAATATGCATTTAGCGCATGTTTTTAAGCGTGACGATTATAAATTATTATAATAGTATAATTATTTAAACCAGGCGGCGATTTTGTGCACGCGCGGGAGAGAGTGAAGAAGCAAAAAAAAAAAAAAGCGAAAATAATAACAATAACAATGCCTATATAATATGACCTGTTTTGTCCTAATTAGAAATATACCGCACAGGTTATTAATAATTAATAAGGTGACTCTTAGTCAGGTATACCTACTATGTATAAGATACCTATATTATACATAATATATATGCATACCTATAATAATAATTATTCATGTATATATATAGGTACCTACACCGAGCGAGCGATAAAAAGGGGCCCCCCAAACACGGATACCTGCAATTGTCGGTGTGTAGGTTTATATAAATATACCTAACAACTATTGTACCTTCTTGTGCGTTAGAACCGCGGTATAGGTTAGGTTGTACTGAAGCAAAATCATGTACTCGGTACACATAGATAAATGTACTATCGTATACTAAACATACCTATATATACCTTTTACGTATGCAACACTAGTTTAAACTATTATAGGTATATCTATATATATACACTACGTTAATATTGTGTACCGATATTTATATTTTTTGTAAGACGGCGGCAACAACTTATAACATGAAATCCCCCAAGCGTGGGCGCCAAAATATATCGTTAGGTATAAAAGTAATTTATACGTCACTATATTATATGATATCATTGCTTATATTATGCTTACAGGTATTATATAGTAATATATTTTAATATGATGTTTTTTTTTTTTGATTTCGATTGTTTTAGATTTTTTTTTTTGTCGAGACGGCAGAAATGACGCTGCACAATAGAATGAAATACAAATTACAAACTATATTGAATCGATAAACGTGATATTGTTTTCGGCCCTCGATTGTCTATAGGTCAGTAGGACCGCCGTCGCCACATCATACCATTTAGTATTCAACGTGTAATTTGTTTTTCAGCCACCGTACGACACATACATACAATTACCGCGTTTGTATACGATTATATTAGGTATATATTATGCAGTCGCGGTCGAACAATAATTATTATTTATTATTATGTACATGTATAATATACATAAGTAAACACGTGATAAATGTTTATAATAAATAGATATACCAGCTAGGAATATGTCTTATACCTATCGTAGGTACTTAAATCTATATAATATATTATTATTATATACATTAGGTATACCCAACTCTATACTCTATGGTACACACAATGGGATCAGCACACATTTGTTATATTTACCTAATATTATGTGCATGTGATATACACAATAGTACCTACACACTATATTATAGTGACTATAATATTACATATTATTATGAAGAAGAAGACGGCGCGTGCTTAATATTATTATACCTTTATACGGATACAATAAACGCCGTCGACCGTATAATATTATTATCATATAATAGGTACAGTATAATTTTTCTGTCCGTTAAGAAAATTATAATTTATAACGTGTCATGTAAAATATAGGTTAGTTTAATTATTATCTTCGGTAAAATTAAAATTAAAAAAAAAAATTATGACGAATTTTATAATATTTAATATGTCCCGAGGTATATAAAATGATGCGATCGAGATCGACGTGTGGAACAAAATCAATAAAAATCGAAACGATTAAGTACCTATATACACACATTATTGTGAAATATTTATCATATTATTTTTTACTTACGGGAATTCTGCTGTAGACTAGGAACATGGTGCGCGTAATTTACAATTATATTATTGTAATATCGCGTATAGGTATAATGTACAGTAATTTGCAACGTTAGCAATTTTAAAATATTATAACGACGACGATTATTTTATGATTTAAAATTCGAAATAGTGTACTATCCTACATAGTGTTACCTAAATTACTTAATTATTGTACTGCAGCACTCGGCGGGCACACGCGAACATCGAACACGAACAACGGACGAGCGTCAAATGAAGCTTGTGATGAGTACACTGAATAATACCTATCAATAATAATTGTTATTACCTATATTATATTGTTGTCGGGGTGGGCGACCGGAGCGCCGCCGTATGGATCAGCCGCAGCGGCTTTTCCCGAGATAACTAAAATCGAGAGTATATTAATATAATAATATTATTAAATTTATATAAATCGTAGGGATATAGGTATACAATACAGCTATAGTGTCGTATGTACCGCAGATATCCTCAGATGGCTGGCATCACCTCCACAGATATGTCGGAAAAATAACACATTACACCGATGCTACAATATAATATGTGTATATAGGTAATAGGTATACCAGGTAGTATAGGTACACGCACTAGATTATGATTAGAATTTTATCGGTGTTTGTGCTGATATAAACACGCTTATAAATGTATATATCTATATATAGTAACGTTTAGAGGGTATACAGCAATATCTTTACCCACACTCGAGGTAGGTATACCTACATTTATTTACAGTTATTCGTATAGGTATACGATATCTTTGGGTTAATATTTATAGCCTTAAAGATTCTAATTATTATAGGTATGCGGATTCACTGAAAAAATATGTACAGGGAAACTGCTGTTGTCGCGATATAGTCATAAATCATAATTTAAGAGTACCTATAGCCAAGTAATATATATAGGTAAATATTTTTATATTATAATACCGCATTTATGCCTATAATATATTTGCTTATCGATTGCAATAACAGCTAAAAACGTGCGTTTATCTACAGACTTGACTAAAAAAATGTAAAGCGTTCCAGCAATTTTGACACCTACATAGTATGAAACCTTCAAATTCTCTTATACCCCGTTACAAGAGAGAAGACACCAGGCGGCCAAGGGCAAAACCGGTTTTGATACGTAAATCTAGTGCCTTCTCTCATGGAACAGGGTATGGTATAATAAATTGGTATATTATAATAAGTAGGCAAAACGTAATGTTTACAATAATAATAATTGTGTAGATACTATACAATAATTATTATAATATGATGGCGTTTTTCTCGTGGTTTTAGAATATGCTTTTAAAAGTGTTGATTTACGCTTGTTTCAATAAATACCTACTATATGTATTTAAATTAGATAACGTCTTATGATACTATATAAACACGTTATATTATAGTTATTCATATAATCTGAACAAATTCGGAGATAATGATTTCCTTTCGCGGAAAGGTATTATGACCGAAACGTACTTATTAAAAAAATTCTAATTATACATCCCACTTCGAAACATATTGTATTATCACAAAGTTCTATGAAATATACCGAAATCGTGTGTAACAAGTGTTTTCTAGTAGGTATAAGTTCCCAACAATAAGACTATATTTACCTACCTCTACCTAATTATTATTACATAGAAATTTATAATAATATGCAATATAGGGTTTTAAAATTTATATAAATATGAGAGATTATCGAAAAATGCATGTTCAAAATTACTAAGAAAATTATTAACAGCTCGTGGTTATTAAAACATTTAAAAGTGTGCTAAAGTTATAAGTTATGCAAATTAATTCTATCAGGTAGGTACATGTCAATTTATGTAATGTTCACACATAACAAAGTAGCATAAATAATAAAAAAAATGTTAAAATTACAATGACATGAGTGCAAGTATAATATACCTAAATATATAGGTAGATGTGCTAATATAGTTTCAAAATAATTATATCATTCCGAATAATGAGTAAAATCACTATTATAGTTTACGATTTTTTTTATTTTCATTCTTGTACTAAAACACCGCTTTATTTCGAATAATGATTAATACTTATAACTACCTACGTAAAAAAATCGCCGATAACGTTCATTCAGCGGAAACTTTTATATTGGTGAAAACAAATAGGTACTTATGCAAAGTTACAACTATAAACAGGCCGAGAACTGATTTAAATAGATTATACAAGGTTTATAGATATTATTATATAAAGTTAAAGTATATAACTAATAATATAGGTACACCAATAACAGCCGCTTAACAATATGTTTAAATAGAAAATTAGAAAAATTCTATAATTTAATAAATCTACATTTACTAGAAGAAGATAATACCAATAAGGTATATAATGTTTACAATACAGGATGAATTTTGAAAACATATTACGTTGGGTAATCTATAACTGCAAGTAAAATTGGAATAATTTGAGTTATTAAATCGTTTTTCCACAAACTTAAATTGTATTTCAATGTACAATAGGTACTTATAATAGTATTGTAATTTCTACTATAATTATGCCTGCGACTCGTTGGGGCTCTCGTGAAGATCTCGACGGCTTTCTATAGGCAAGTTCAAAGAAAATGATTACCTACTATTATTGCAAAACGAATGAAAACGAGAACTTTATATATGTTACGGGTAAAAACCTAAACCTCCTAACCACCTACTTGACTCGTATACCTATATAATATATCGTAACCATACCACATCGGCTAAATAATACTATAATCTAATCATCTCCTTACCTGGTGTCCGATATTTTTGGCGAGTTGTTGTGAAAACTGAGAAGTCATGGTACGCGGGAGACCCGCGGTTTCGAGACGTTTTCGCGGGACGCGCGCGCTACGAGACCACTACGACAACAACGGCCGGCGTCGCCGCGGTGCAGTCGTCGGCGGCGGCGGTGCGGGTTGCGGCGGTGGTTGCGGTCCTCGCGCAGCGATTCATTGGCCGCACGCCTATGCGGTCGAAGTGGGCGACGATTCGAAAACGAAATTGAAAAACCAAATACGACGCAAAAAAAAACCCCGTAGTCTGACGGCACAAGATTCAAAAAAAAAAAAAAAAACTCGAACACACCTAACGGATGTACCTTGTTTACGATACTATTTCGTTATTAATTATTTAAGACGATAATTATTGTTACAATATCATTACCAGCGTACACGGCGGACGGTAATGTACGAATATCGTAATGGCAATAATATTATAATATCGGTACGGTATAATATTATTATGTAGGTATTACGAGGTAGCAGCGCGTCCGTGTTCGACACGGGTCGGTTATGCGGGACAGACTGCTGTGCGGTGGCGGCTACGGCTACGACGGCGGCGGCGGCAGCGACGACGACGACGTGTACGCGGTAGCGACTTGTCCGCGGCGCGGCGTACTATAATGAGCGACGTGCTGCACTGCGAGTACGGCCGACTACACGCGCACGCACGCACGCACGCACAAGATCCGACCACGTACGGCGCGCACACACAGACACACGGTCGCTGTAGATGCGCGCGCGCCTAGTGGTCGCGAGTCTTCCGTCGGTGGGGTGCGGTACGGGGCGGCGGTGTCGGTGGACGAACGAACGGGTCGCGGAGGAGGCTGCCGCGGGAGCGGTGGCGGGGACTGCGTCAGACGGCGGCGGCGGTAGGGGAACGCTCGAACACACACACACACACAGGCGCGCACGCACACACACGAGCGCGCATACGCACACACACACACGAGCGCGCGCGCGCGGGGCACCGCCTCGACGGATAGCGCCTCCTACGCACGCCCAACCCGCCAACCGTTCCCCGCGACACGACCATGTTTACCACCACCCCGCCAACCAACGGTTATCGCGCGCGCGGCCAGCCGTCGATCTTTTTTACCGCACACCCTGCAGTCGGCCGCCGGACGAGACGTGTTTTCCCTCGACACGCGTTATAGGTACCTATATGGCTATATTATTAGGCACTCTATCTACTATTATAATATACCTATAATAATATTATATAATTATTGTCATCGCGGTTGTAGGTACCCGTAATATAATAATTTATATTTTAGTTAAGCACGAAGTCGGAGCTATGGAGAAACGAAAAATATCAGTTCGTAAATCGTATATAGGACGTTAATATGCTTCAGCAGGGTGCAGGGCCGCCGCCGCCGCCGCGTGTTTTCTATCGTAAAGCCGACGCGGAAAAACGAGTAGGTATAAACACTGCTGCAGTGGCCCCGCACTCTGCAGTGTGCATATAAATGCAGACACCTCGTTGTAACCCTTTCTTATATATTCCATCGTAATATATGCTGTTAGGTCAGTGACGACCCTAATCCGACGGACTTAAAAATTACGAGCCTTCCCCATGCATATATTTAAAACGCAAAGCCCCTATCATATATATTCACACATTTGATAACTTATACATAAATGGAACTAATAAATAAGTATATTATATCATATAATGTACCTATTATACCTATACGACTAAATCTACACCCATACCTATAGGTATATGTTTAGGTAATAAAGCCGTTAAATGTTATGTATATAGCGGTAATTGCAACATATAAGTATATAACACATATTACATCTAGGTATAGGTAATTACCAATTATAATTAATAATTATATCTATTATATAAGTAAGTATAGGTACCTTTTTTTTTTTTTTTTCTGTTTGAACCGACAGCGCCGCGGGAATTGCTTTTGCATTACTTCCGCGAGGTAAGTAGGTACATACCTATATATATATTCAAAAATTGTCTCATCCCTATATATATATACAGTCGTACAAATAATTTGAGGCCTATTGTAATATAGCCTACGTTATTATAATTTTATGTGAGACGTGCTAAATTGGAAAATGTTGCTGTGATATATAGGTAACCTATATAGGCTACTCGATATTATGGTCTGCAGAAAGTAGTAAGGGTGCAGTGTGTGGGTTGAGCTTCCGTCTTATCCACGCATGTATATATATAATAATATGTTATGCAAATACACATTATAATATAATAATTATATACTACCTGTAATAAAGTTTTTTTTCCGACATCACGCTCCATTTATATTTATCTACATAAATCCACTGTCCTTATTAAAAATAAATAATCTTATTTAGTACCGCGTATTACTATACCTATACCTAATTTATATGCAGCCTAATATACTAGGAACCAATAAGTCATAACTTAGATAAAAATTTAAAAGTATATTTATATTTTTTTGGATGAACCGCCATTTATATAAGAATGTTTGACATTTGATTTAGCCGATTTAGGTACCTATATACCGTTACCTACTTGCCTATATAATATAAAATAATATGTACTTAAATTTTAAATGACCACGGCCCTACATTGACATTGTCTATCACGCGTATAAATGGATTTTTAATAATTATATTATATAAACCTATAGCCATATATTATATACCTACATTAATACATATAAAGTACAGTGCTGAATGATGCGTTATTATCATCTAAACCACACCGCCACACACTCGCTGCTTAAACGTGATTGTTTTATTCGAATACGCACATGCGTAATTTATTATTGTAAATTTAGCTACCGATTAAACGCGAAACGGGTCGGCCGAAATAAATCGTTGACATTCATTTTGTTAAAACTATTATAACCATTATATTTTATACATATATATGTATGATTTACCGTTCGCGCTCTTCAACCGCCATGATGGTGAATTCATAATATAATATGTACACTATACATAGGTATATGCTATACAATATATATATATATATATTATGTATAATAAAATGGCCTTTTAAATTTCGATTGTCGCGTCGCGGCGTAAACCCAATGACGTGTGTCACGTAGATGCGGGCTCGGCTGAACAGCGGGTGAATGGAAAACGGGAGGAAATCGACTGGTTTCAAAACGTATATATATATATATATTTAGGTATATAAACGGTATAATGGGTACGCCGAAACCGCACTAATTTGTCCATTACTCGCGGGGCGTATAGGTCGTTTTATAATCACACACGCGCACGCACCATACGCGAGTATAATAATATTATATATTATGCGTGCGATGTATATATATTATATTATACCACTCGCGTTTATAACCACATAAATAACCAACGCGATATTCTTTATAAAATATAATAATATTATATAGGCCAGTACAGACATATATAATATTAAAATATATATATTGAGAGCGATTGAGAGGAGAATCAAAAACTCTGCGGGCGGTCGAACCGACCGCGACTACAATATATACAAAACAATATTTCTATAACGCAAACAATGATAATATTATTATTATATATTTATTATCATTACTACTACATACGCATAATAGGCGGTGCAGATATATGGTAACGGTTATAACGCATCTTCGACTATATACCTAATGGCCAATATATATATATATTTGTGTGTACATAAAAACCGTCCCGCCACCGTACTTGCACGCGTCGAATGATAAAAAAAAACTATTCTCTTTTGTTGGTGTGTGTGTGTGTGTGGTGTATACACTACGCTGATATACGCTAACTTCGATTTACATTTTCGAATTTGTCTCGACTAACGCACACACACGTGTATACTATATATATATTATACACTTTTGTTCGCTATTCGTCGTCGTTCCGTGTCCCGCGGTCGTGTGCACACGATGCTTATCGTTATACAGTATACACACTCACACAAACACATTATATTATATATAGTTGTCACCTCTCCTTTACCCACACACACTCACACACACACCACCGATACACTGATCCGCGGTGGAGGGGTGGTGATGGGACGGAGAGAAGAGGCCGCGCCCATTCCCAATCGCGTTACCCGCCTTTAATACTCCACCCGGCCACACCGTCACCCCACACACGCTCACACACACTGACACATTGATGCACGCACACACCGCAGACATCATTGTTGTAGCGTCTATTCTTGTTATACAGGGTGGTTCTTTCATCACGAAACAGTCATTCAATCGGAAGGTTCTGAAAATATAGATATAGTAGATATAAAATATATTAGGTGTATCTATAATGCGAAATAATATGAGATTGAAAGTGTAGTTGTTGTTAAAAATAGAAAATACTTGAGAAATATTATAATGATAAAAAATAGTAATAAATGTTTTTTTTTTTTTTTAATGAGTGCAGTTTAGTCATAAAAAATCGCCTAAAATAATAATGTAAAATATGATATAATATTATTTATAGGTAACCTCTGTAGTGTTCGGAAGTCTCTCTATAATATACCTTTGAAGAAGTGCGCTACTATATGTATTACTATGTACTATACCTATATGGCCTATATATAAGAATAAGAAAAAATCTCGATACAATCATCATTGCTTTAATGAAAAATAATGTACGGCACTCTATATCATATAATATGCAATTTTGTTTTTGATGAATATTATTTATTTCAAAATAATATAAGAAAGAAATATTTTATTACAAAAGTTCTATAGGAAACTATAAACGGTAGTAGAAAGTATCGAATTGCGTGCTATTTTTAATGAAAAATTATACTTATATAGTGTTAGTGTGTGTCTACTATATTTCTAAATATATACTCTTACTAAATACCTTCAAAACAAATATCAGCAACTGGATATATCTACGTCATATTTACTTGTGTCGCTTCAAAGAAATATTAGTGGCCTATAAGTTATAATAGAAATTGCGAGCTAATTGATAATTCCATATAATATATTATATAATCACTATAGGTACCTATACACCTATATATTTTATATATAGTTACATAATATTACATTAATAAATATATATAGATTATAAGTATATATTGC